ATAAACAATCTGAATGTGAAAATGTAATAAACAATGAAATGTACGAGCTTATTAGTGCACAAGCCGTAATTAAGAACGACACATGCAAGCATATAAACTCGCGCCGCAACGGCGTATTATCGGCAACTAAAAGGGCTGATTGCGCTACTCTTTGTTCAAAGCGCACCAGTGACGAATTCTGATTGCCTTTTCTATAAACTATAAAATAACAAAATTAACATATAAAATAGATATAATTTTCATACTTAAGATCTCCGGCCATTTTCCGACTATATGAATGGAGACGATAGGCGGCGCGGCTGCAGATTATTTAGAAGACGAGCAGGATCCGAGATTTTATAAACGGCGAAGTGAAGTGAAGCAAAAGGAGCCCTAGTTTTACTTGGTATTGGGCTAGTAGCCCGTCAGGAGAATGTGGGCCGTCTTATATCAAATATCGCTCAATATTCACCTAAATTACCAAAAACCCCTCGAAGTTCCTGTAATTTTCGTTTTCGCCCATAAAGTTAATCGAATTTTAATCAAAACGACGACATTTTGAATGGAAGCTTCAGTAGGATCATGGCAGCTTCCATCTCTAAAGCCCTAACCAGAAATCTTCTCCGGCGAAGTGGTGACATTACACGAGAAGTGCAGCTTCGGTTCTGCTCCGCCGCCACGTCAGCTGCAGCCATCTCTGCCCCTGAAACTCAACCTGCAGGTCTCACCTTCTTCTCTCTTCTTGTCAAAGTAAATATTTTTCCTGATTTAGGTTTTATGGGAAAATCTTCTTTTGTATTTTTTGCTTTTTTCCCCCCTTTCTCGTTGCTGAATTCAGGTGATCTGAATTACTACATTTTGTTTGTATTCCTCAGAGAAAAATGGACCTTCTAGATTGTCAAAGTTACTGCTTTTCGTACCTGGGGTTATCACCTTTGGCCTTGGAACGTGGCAAATCATCAGAAGGCAAGAAAAGGTTAAATCTTAATTTCCAAAAAAAAACATTTATTTTGGTATTTTAGAAGACTTCTCATTTCCCTATGATGCAATATATTGTGTGTTTCAATCGGAGAGGCAAAAAACACTAGAAGTTCCTCCATCTGTCTAAGCGATGGTCAGCACAATTACCAAATACATGTGTGCTTGTGTGAGGTAGCAGGTACCCGAGGTGCGCACAAGCTTGCCCGTACGGTCATCCAAAAAGATTTAAAAATAATAATAAAGGAAGCGTGTTAAAAAGTGCTGTTGATGCAATTCTTTTCAGATGGATACATTTTGTTGCTTGGTTTGATCAATCACTGTGTCTAAGTTCTGGAGTGTGGTTTGTTCATATAGTTTCAGTTAATTTGCCTGTTTATTGAATGCAAGATTGCTTGAGAAAGAAATTGTAACACCAATCACTATTTGCAGATTGAAATGCTTGAGTATAGACAAAATAGATTGCGAATGGATCCTCTAAACTGCAATGAGGTTTCCCCTTCTAGTGAAAATGTGGATTCCTTGGAGTTCCGCAGGGTACTTTGTAGTGGAGTGTTTGATGAGAAAAAGTCCATTTTTATAGGGCCCCGCTCCAGAAGCATTTCAGGAGTGACTGAAAATGGCTATTATGTTATTACTCCTCTCATGCCTTTGGCAAATGATCCTAAGAGGTACGTGTACCTAAAGTAGTTTAATTTTGGCATGTTTTGTGCATTAGTTGTTTTGGGTATCTATTTCTGGCTCAAACTTGGTTAATCATTAAACAGGATTTATTCTACATCTAGTCACCTGCTATGTACGTTAAAAGGAAGTTACTTAATACTGAATTAGCAGTTGAAATGTCACTGAGTTACGATCTTGGGTTATTACAGAGAGCATAAAAAGATTTGGTTGATGTACTTGGCTGCACATAAAAGAATCAATATTGTCGTTTATATAGTCTTGAAAATAGCTTTCTCTTCTCATTTACAAGAATTTAGTTCCCTTACTTTTATTTTATTAATTTCATTAGTTCCTTTACTTCTTCTAAGTCTGGTGCATGAAAAACAAGCATTTAGTTCCTTTACTTCTTCTTAGTCTGGTGCATCTTTTTAGGACTTCGTCAAGTGTTTACCCCCCCATAACTCCACTTACTCACCTATGTATGTATCAGCTCAACTGCAATACAATATTACGGCCGTTCAGCTTTCTTATTGCATCTTATGGTTCAGTGAAATTTGGTTACTCTTTTTTTAATTTACTTCAGTACTCTTGGGATTTGATTAGGATTGAGGTGAGTGGATTTATTGATTGATTAATGTCTCGGTTTCTAGACTGTTGTGGAACTAATTCTTACACCATCTACTACCTTCTTTACTCTCCTTACCTTTGTATGCATTGGACCATCCATCATACGATCATTGAGATATCCCCTAGATCAATATTTCTGTTTGCTTTACTTTTTTGGCACCTTTTCATTTGAATTATTGATCCTTTTAGGAAAATCACTTCAAATTTATTGTGCTGTAATTTTTTGCCTTCTTATATCTTCTCTTGTTGTTATATAGTTCACGAATTTTACATATCCTATCTTAATGTTGGTCCTGTAGTGCAGATATAGCGAAACTCGATGAGATGTGATCCCCCCCTGAAATTCTCCATTATCGAACTTTTGACCTTCTGGTTGTCTGGAAATGTTAATTATTGACTCTCCTTGCCCTATTTCTTTGAGCAAAGGCCGCTCCATCCTCATACTCCTTCCACTTTTGGCCTTTCTTTGTGTTCCCATATAAGGCTGAAGCTACCCCGGAATTTTATTTGAGCAGATAATAGAAAAGAATTACGATGAACTTTTGTAGGGAAGTCATAGCAGACGCATCTTTGTATAAAAAGTTTCTCAAAGTTTGTAACTGCGCAAAAATCGAACAATAGCCCTGTTAGGACATGTAGAATCTAACAAAGTTCCTCCGTTCCTTTTAAATGAAGAAGTTCCTCCTTTCTTTAATTAAGTTGTAATTTCTTTGAGTAGGCATATGGTGTATGTTTTCCCTGATTTAACTTTTACATAGATAAAATAAATTATGCATCACACAGTTAGCCCCCCACCCCACCAAATGGGGGAAAATTCTTGAAGAAAATTTTGGAAAGAGTAGGACGCAGCTATGGAATCACAAATTTTCATGTCTGGCAAAGAAGTCAGTGGCTAAATCTGTCTAATCGTGTCAAATTCTTTTCAGCGTGCAGTCACCAATTCTTGTCAATAGGGGATGGGTCCCACGAAATTGGAGAGACAAGTCTTTGGAAGTGGCTGGGGCTGATGACCAGCCTTCAAGTACTGCGCCCCCATCTCAAGAGAGTGCAAAGAGCTCCTGGTGGATGTTTGGATCAAAAAAGAAGAAAGTAGAAGAGGTTTTTCTCTTTCCTTGCATAGTTCCTGATTAAAATCATGTATATCTGAACATGACACCTGATGGCAGTGCATTCAATCAACAGGATCAACTTCCAACTGTTAAGCCCACAGAGGTGATTGGAGTTGTTAGAGGAAGTGAGAAGCCCAGTATATTTGTTCCAGCAAATGATCCCAATTCGTTCCAGTGGTTCTACGTTGATGTTTCAGCCATTGCTCGTGCTTGTGGACTCCCTGAGAACACACTCTACATTGAAGACATCAATGATAATGTCGACCCAAGCAATCCCTATCCACTTCCAAAGGATACAAACACATTGGTTCAAAGTTCTGTAATGCCGCAACAGCATCTTAACTATACATTGACATGGTATTCCCTGTTCAATATATGTTCTAATACATGCTTCTGAGTTTTTTGCCATTGATATATCGATCTTTCCTCTCATCTTATTGAGGCTGCCTCTTGTCTATGTCTAATGCTAATACTTTTATCAAAACTCGAACGTAAAAGAATTTCATCTCACTAGTATATTTTGATTCCTTTTACCAACTTCTATCTGGCAAATCTTTTCTTATCACGTTTTGATGAGCTAATATTGGATTCCTTAAGAGTGAGAAAATTAATTTTTTGTTAAGATAAAGTATATTGAGCTGGCATCATTTCTTGTTTATACTAGACTTCCACATGCATGAAATAGATTCATTAATATTTGTGATACAAAACTACTACAACTCATTGTTTAGAAGTTTCTAGCTCATAATCAGTATAGATTTCAATTGGATGATACCTAGAGAACTTCAGTGCTGCTGTTATTGACACTACTGGCAATAGAGGGAAAGGGGGATGTTTGCTTGATCCGTGTTGCAGACTGGAATAAATTAGGGGACAGCCCTCTAAACAAAAAGAATAGTGACGATTTGGATTTCCTCTTTTTATTTGTTCTCTTTACGTTTACCTGATGTTTTCTTTTTAAATTTTTGCAAGGTATTCTCTATCAGCTGCAGTAACTTTTATGGCTTTTAAGAGGCTAAAGTCAAAGAAAAGCCGGAGATAGCGAATCGTTTGAGTTGTTTCCTTTGAGGGTATTTGGCAACGTTAGAGCAACTAGTCTGTGAGGCAATGCTGCTATAGCAGATTAGCTTCATCACATCGACCATTTCTAAGGAACGCAAAGCTGCTATATTTTCAACACGTCATACACCTTCATTCGCTTGGCTCCTAAGTTCTACAGGCGAAAACAATCCATATTTAAATGGTACAACCCAATAAATGCCCTTTTTGTAGTATTCTCGAGGTTTCGTTAGGTAGCATTTGCATGTCAGCTAAAAATTGTTTGATATTTGTTCTTTCAAATCCCAAAGGCATTTTCTCTGTCTCTGGAGGAGAGTTTTATCTGAACTACAGAACGAACTTCTGCTTATGACAATGCATCTAACGTAATGCATGTGAACCCTTCGCATTTTTTTATTCACAAAGAAACATAGCTCCTCGAAGAGGTTCAATTTGGCCAAAAACGTATTCCAACGGAAAGAGATTGCTGATTTGGGCATTCAATAGCTTGCCGTCCGAACTGATTCAGGACAATAAAATTATGATCCAGAAGGAAAGTAATTGCTCTTCTGTGCATGTGGTAGTTCGTACTGATTAAAAACTAGGTCAAACCGAAAATCTATTTACTCCCACGTAAAACTCAACCATCGCAAACTGACATTCATACACTAATTCTTTCCGTACACTTTATACACAAATTTCACTGCCTACACAATAAATCAAAGAATGGAAGACCTATGGGAAACACATCCACTGGAAAAAAGAAAAATAAGGAAAGCAAAGATAACACCGACAGGGGGAACAGGAAGAGTAAACCAGACCCAAAGAATGAAATGAATATAAAACAGAACCCCGAAAAAAGAAAAACAGATTTTACTTCGTTGAATGGTGATATACAAGGGGGTTTGTGGTTGCTTCACCATGTAATGCTTGCAATAAAGCCACAAAGTTGAAGAGACTTTCTTCTGAAAACCACTTGAGCTTCCATTTCTGGGGACCCAAGACAGGTTTTCTCTTTACGAGCTTCGTATCCTCGACTACCTTGCCCTCCTTCAATGTAAGAGGGAAATCTGACATGACACCTCCCAAAGTCAGGGTCACACAATAGCAATCTGTCATTTCAATTACCTGAAAGTTAAAGGAAATCCATATCATCAGCTTTGTTTCTTTACACCAAACAAAAGAACTCTTGATTTCTTGTATTCCAAAATATAATTTTTATCAAGGTATCCGAAAATATTTTCCTTTCTACATTTCTCATCAGGATGGATGGCATTGAGACAAAATCAGTGTACACGAGCATGCTAGTAAAACCGACTTATGATATGACCCTAGAAAAAGGTTCCATATAAACACGAATGATATTATATACTCATAACTCAACAATCAAGGGATAAACTGTTNTAGATTGATAGAAACAAATGTTCATAAACAAAATAATTACCACTTCAGACACGCCGACAATGGGGCAACAAGAGTCCAACGAGAAGTAGGAAGAGCAAGATACACTCTCCGAAAGGGACCCAATTAGGGTTACGTCTTCCATGCACAGAAGTAAATGCCTTTCAAGCACAAATAGTGATCTCCCCAGCCATGGATCCTCTGTCAATGACATAGAAGTTTCATTATAACCAACAAACCTAATTCACTGCAGACGTGTTATCAACCTAAGAAAATCACATTTATGTCGACCAGTATATGTACTCCAACGCAAGATGGACAATTGTTTCCTTGTCCAACAACATCCAAATCTCCCCAACCCCCCAACCCACAACCGAAAAAGGAGGAAACAGGAAAAGTGGAAAAAAGAACTGAAACCAAATTACCTACACAATCAAAGGAGACACAAAGAGAGAACAACAAAAAGGATGCTATTTCTGCTAGCAAAAATAGATGCACGGCTTAGGGGTAAAAAGAATGTTATTTTCTGTAGCATGTAGATCATCTGTTTAAGCTAAATAATGGATTTCTGCTGCCTAGCTAACTAAGTTTCATGTTTCATAAGACATAGTTCTTTTTCTTTCATGTTGGTGCTACTTACGGCCATCTTATTTCCGCTGCCAATCAAGTTAAAACTTCTTTGGATAAAGTAAAAGTGATTGAAGTTATAACGAAACGAAATGGAAATGCTTGCAAACAGGCCACCCTTTCTTTACACCAAGAAAGCCTTACTAACTAAAAACACTTAGCCTTGTACAACAGAAGAAGCAACATCTCAATGATGAACTTCTGACAGAACAAGAGCTTAACCTACTCATCAAACAATATGGCTATTCACTTTTTCTTGACATCAGCACTGAAGCTATAAGGACAACTCTCAGTCCATGTTCGACTGCATCAGTATATGGATGAACCATATAGAAAACTGCAAGAGCAACTAGAAATACCTTTAGAACTGTTGCACCAGAACATCACCATTGCATACTGAAGGATGCTCATCTTTAAACCTCCACAAACATGCCTTTCAAACAGATCAGCCTGAACCTGCTCCAAACTGTCATTCAAATTTCCAAAACCAGCACATGATGAAGTGGAAATCAAAGTAGACAGTACAAAACTTGAAAGTTTTGTCACATAACCAATTTAGACGTACAGAGCCAAGATAGATTACCTTTGCAGAGAAAAATTATTTTCCACCGCACGTGAATCAGCAGACGCCAATATAGATAAAAGTTCTCTGGAAATGTCTATGCTTCTGGTCACGAAGAGGTAGGTTGTTTCGCATTCGAAGCACACTCTACTTGAAAGAAAAATGGAACACAATAAGGTCTTTGGAAAAGTACGAGGCAAGCAAAACAAAAAGAAATGAAACAGAACCCACAAACCTTATAATCTGGAGTCCCAAACCCACAAAAATCTCTCTCTTCTGTTCAACACCATGACATCCAACTAATTTAAAGCTTGAACCTGCTAAAAGCCAACAGATAAATAGTGCTTGTAAGTATGCAGAATCATTTGAGTCTCACAAGTATAAACACAAAGAACAAAAACTTCACATCTTGCAAAAAGTTCATACCACAGTAAAGCTAACCTGACCCATCACATGAGTTTTCAAGGAGTAGCACATGTAACTTATGCTCGCTGCTCAAGGTGACAGCAACTTCACTGTAGGTTCAGTAGGACACAGTAAATAATTTGGAAAGAAAACAGTAGCTGAGATAACTAAGGCTCACCAAAGTATATGCATGGCAGTGCCTAAACAAAACTACACCACAGAGAAACAATCTCCAGATGATCTCATTGAGGCATATGATATGTTTAGTGAAACTAAAGTCGATTCCCACATGGCAGAAAACACTGGAAGATTATATCTAGGCGTCCCATGACAATTAGCAAAAACACGCCCAAACTTTAGATAATATTATCATCCTGCATAGACCAAAATAATTGTAGCTTCTTCGTGCAATATCTATCTAGTTTTACTTTTGAGACTTCCTTCCCATGCATGACATACTTTAGAAAACTTTTTCCACTGAGACCAATTTTTTCCCGATGAATCAAATAATCATTTCATTTAAGATATGAATCAACGTGTCTCAAAAGTTCCAATATTTTCTCTTTTTTCTGTTTTATATAAATGCAAGTTGCAATAATTTTATCACTGAGCTTCTTTCAACTTAGTCCAGTTAAAAGAGCCAACTACACTTGTGCTTGATTCATAAACTTAGTTAAGATTTTCCTTCCTTTACAGAAATTAGTATATTTAACCTTCAAGAGGAGTTAAAGAATTCCATTTAGCCCTTTTGCGGGCAAGGCAACAGAATTGAACTCCCATAAATAGGTTCACCAGCTTTTATAACCCTCTGTCACATCCTGCAAACTGAGGAACATCCTTCACACCCTTGAAACCACTGTTCCAATCCACGAACCACTTCACATTGCAATGAGATAGCTGAGCATTCTTAGGTGAGGGTGTGAAAACTGACAAAGAACGGTTTTAGAGCAGTGGCAGCTACAAGGGGNATAGAGTCGGATAAATATTTTGAGGTCTCTCCGAGCTGTTTTTCTCTAGTCTGGGTCTTAAGTTCATCATCTCTGTGGTTACTGGAAACAGTCTCTTTGCCTCTAGCAAGACCAACAAAATTGTCAGAAGAGTCATTTATCCAATCTTTGAACTCCTGCAGCCATACATCAGATCTTTCCTTCTTCATTTTCTCGATACGGTTCATCAACTCAACTATTTCAGCTTCCTCATCAGAAAGGGCATTCTCCTCCTTGCTTTGGTTGTCGATATCAAGAGACACAGATTCTATATCAGAACAAATAGAAGTATTCTGTTCTTCCGTCTCGATACTAGCAACACGTGAGAGCTTCTTCTGCGATAGGTATATCAAGGTGAACTCAGAATTGCTGATGGATATAGTAAAGCAAATTAGAAATGAGAACCTAAGGAGTTACTGACCCTTTTTGTATTGATACTTCCTTCTATTTTTGCCCCATCTCTTGCCGGTGAATAAAATCCAAAGCTAGCAGGCCGCTTTTGCCTGCTGGCAATGATAATTTGCCGCTGCCATAACTCACTTGTACAGATTTTCTTTTCATCTAGCTCCATCTGTAGTGTGCAATCATGGAAGAAAAAAAATGGGCAAGTCCGAAGAGTAAAAGTTAGATGAAGGGACAGATTCCTCTGTAAAACTCTGAGCAGAGGATGGACAAAAAGAAAATTTAGGAACAGAAACCGACAAGTGATACTGATACATAAAAGATTTCAAACGGATAACTCACCTTCTCTGGATTTGGAAAGAAACTGAACACTTGAGCTCTATACCAACGAGCATAGCACAGAGGATTCCCCTCTAGCCACAAGCTTTGAAGAGATGACAGGCCAGCAAGAATTTCCATCTCTAAGAAATTGGAGATTATATTGTACGAAATATCAAGCCCTTGAAGTGACTTCAAATTTTCAAGTCCACGCAATGTTGTTAGAGCATTGTTCCTCAACACAAGCTTAACAATGTGACATGAGACCTGCATTTACAAAACCTCTATAAAACAACATGTTGTAAGCATTGTCCCATGTACTTCATGCTCGTATAGACTTCACGCAACATTACAGAAAGGGTGCTGGAACAACAAAAATTATGTCACATCAATCAACATTGTAGAATTAGCACAGGATAAATAGCAAATAGTACTTCATGAGAGGCTTTTAAGACCGGCTAATTTATGACTAAATATTACTTTGCGCCTCTTACGACTTCGAACCCTCCGAGAAATGGATATAAGACCAACTTGGCCGAAAAAAAGATATTTGAGACTATACTCTATTGACGTACTATCCTTCATTGCATCTAAAGTAGAAAGTTTTTGAACACTATCGATTTAGTTAAGCCTTTTCTCCTATCCTTTTTCTTCATTCCAGCAATGAGGAGCATGGAGTTTCTCGAACTGGTCAGATAATTGCCACAAATGCAATTTTACCACGTCATTTAGAGTTGATAGTGCAAGTATTTATGACTGCTCCAAATTTCATTAACTCTGATTGGATCCTCAATCACCATTCTTTGCATGAATATGGGTTGTGCTCGAGAACTGATTGGTCATCGTAACACGCATACTGCTTGACTTTATGAAGATTCCATTGGATTCTAGAAGCTCGAAAGGCACGATTCCGAAACTTAAGAAGTTCTATAATAGTAAGGACCAATTTCTTTTCATACTCATAGCAAATATTGTTCTTCGAACAGACAATAAAACAGTATTGCATCGAAATAATTATGCCATATTTACCTCAATAAAGGATGCAACATTTCTCAGGTGATTAAACCCCAGATCCAGATGCTTCAACTTGGTGCATTTGCGCAAATTATCCACTTTANAAATCTTTATGCCATATTTACCTCAATAAAGGATGCAACATTTCTCAGGTGATTAAACCCCAGATCCAGATGCTTCAACTTGGTGCATTTGCGCAGATTATCCACTTTAGCAAACTTATTTCTGCTCAAATCAAGAGTTTCAACAGCAGGAAGAAGTTGCAATGACTCATCCATCAGTACCAAGCCATTACGAGCACATGAAATAAATGACAGTTTATTCCAGTGTGGAGAATTCTTTATATCAGCAATTCTACTAGCAAATATATGCCTAAGAGCATCCTGCAAACAATCCAATCAATCACACAATCAAAATGCTTAACCCAAATAAATATATAGCACGTGTAATTCAATTCACAGGCAAAAAATTATAAACTCACAGTTGAATTATGACATATTAATTTCTCTAAAGTGTGCCTTAATTCCAAGAGTCCTCTAGCGGCAGAAGTTGACAGATCACATCCTCTAAGTTCCAAAATTTTAAGTCTACCAAACGGCAAAAGAGACAACGGCGTCGGGTCCCGAGCAGGAGGCGGCAGCACGGAGACAACCTTAAGCGATGTAAGAAGGCGAAGAATCCGGCGAAGCTTCTCGAGCGCACGGTGGTCACCTAAATCGGAAACGTAAGCACGCAAATAATCTACAGGAGCTCCTGATAGAAGACTCTCGAGCTCCGACAAGGCTTCGAGCCTAGAGTGCACGTAGTGAAGACCAATTGGATTCAATTTAAGCACCAAAGTCCCTTCGATCAATGATTCCACATTGTTTTCGACGAATTTTACAAGCGAATCTAAGTATCTATCTCCGGTTACAAGCACCATCTCAAAATTAGGGTTCCGGTGATTTGAATTAATGAGAAAAAGGGGGTTTTGGAGGAATTGAGAGCAGAGAAACGGCCATGGCTGTTGTGTGTGTCTGTGTGAGAATGAATGACTTTTGCGAGGGGGCCGCTTTTGGGTTAATGATTGGGTTTAGACCGGTGGGGGTGGGGTTAGCGAAGCAATTTGCTGGAAGACACGTGGCGTGCTGGAGTGGGACCATTACGCGCTTATATCGGACATAATATCCTCAAGAGTCAAGTCCAACGCTACTATTAAAATTTCCATTCGTCCCAATTTCTACGTGGTCAATAAGAGGAAATATCCTTTGAATTTTTTTAACTTTGTAATCACCGCATCTGAATTTTTTGTACCATGAAAATTGATGTTAATAGCCTAAATTGTGTTTGCAATCAAATAAATAGCTCGCAAGTAGTTTATACAGGCAGTTTTACAAGCAACTCATGCATGCAGCTTGCAAGTAGCTTTACAAAAATCTTACCATAATTTTTGTATATGATAAAAGTGGGTCTTAAGAGATGGGTAAACTAGAAGCGACACGCGTCAAGAATGATTACTCAGCAGTGACTCAACCATGGTGACATCGGATGCAAATCTGTGGCCGGATAAGAAGCAATTCAAGGTATGACTGTTATAGAAATGTTACATAATTTATAAATAGAGACTTTCATTCTATTGTAAAACATCAAGAAATACTGAGAGCAAAAGACTAATATTGTTTCTCTCATTCTTTTAAGTTTTGTATAAGTATGCTCGAAATTTTTCAATTATTATTGATTCTGGTGAGAACATTTTTAAGCTCAGGCTTGTTTCTTCTTCAATTATACTTATTTTAATCGCTTTGTTCTTTATTACTTTATTTTATCGGATCAATTTAATCCATGCGTCTATAAATCACGTTTCAATTGTACTATTTTACGAGTAAATAACTTCTTGAAACAAGCAGCTTGCAAATAGCTCATGCAGACAGTTTTAAAATAGCTCATGTAGGCAGCTTACAAGCAGTTTCACGAAAACCTTACAACAACTTTCAGAAAAAAAAGCCTCATAGCAATTTCCTTTATCCTATAAATACGAAGCCAAAATAATTCATTTATACATCAATTTAAATTAAATAATATATTAATTCTCTTTATATTTGTCTTGAATTATTTATTTTACGGTCTTTATTTTATAATAGTCTCTTCGTTTTGTTGTGTTGTACTTGTACCATGAGAATTGATGTTTCTTTGTTTTGATGCCCACATGTACAGAAACTGACAAACTTTACTACATCGATTAACTTGAATTTTTGTACGACGACCTAAATTAGCATAAGCTTTGCATTATTTGTATCCACTTGCATTAAACGAGATTCCGATCATTTTTACTTGTTCATTATATTAAATTAAGAGAAAAATTATTTTTATTTATTTTATCCTTATTAATTACTTATTCCCCAAATTGTTTTGCAAAACTTCTAAAATGCTATCGTTATAAGAAATTATATGGTAAAATATATACTAAATTATTATTTCTTAAGGGGCATGAAAAATTTAAAATGGACAAATAAAAGTGAGCGGCGGGAGTATGTCCTAATCTGTTTTTGGCTGGCAGAATGATAGATATTAAGTTATTATTCTAATCTAGCTTCTTAAATTAGATTTCAAACGTCATTATTGGTGTCCTAATATTTTTTGCGTTTCCACGAACTATAAAAGGAATATATTTCTTTGTTTGGTAAGGAATTAGAAGAAGTGACGAAGTAAGTATACAATGATTAATAAGTATGTTAAATAACCTTACACGTCAATCTTTTCAAACTGTTCTATTTTTTTATTCACTTCCAAATTTACTAAACTTCAGAAAACATATACCTCTATTCCAGTTTACATGAATCTATTTTCTTTTTGGTCCGTTCCAAAAAGAATGATCTTTTTCTAAATTTAGTAACAATTTAGCTTAAACTTACAATTCTACCCTTAATGAGAAGCTTTTATAATCACACAAATACTCTGGGTCTCTTTTTGATTTGTGTAGGACCACAAATTCCAAAATTCTTTATTTTTTCTTAAACGCCATGCCTAGTTAAACAGATTCACATAAATTAGAACGGATGGAATAATAAATAGTTCACCAGCTACATAGGAGAAGTAAACAAAATACACTAGTTTATCTTTCCTTAATCATACCCTTCCATTGATAAGTGCACTATGTCCATTAATAAGCAAATAAAATACATATTTTTAGTCTTCAATTTTGTGATTTACATATTTTAACCATATCAAACTTGTATTGGTCAAAATCTGACCATCACGATCAAGTTGACCGACATCCCGTCTCAGTAACTAGGCAGTGAAGGTCAACAGAGCCCACTTCATTTCTCCTCTATGACATCCGACGAATCGATAAGAGTGACGCCTAAAATCATGACCTAGACACACCAGTGGCAAGAAAATGTCGAGTCAAGCAAAGGGCAAGGATACCCTGACTATATATTGCAAGGGAAAGCTCTCAACTAGGGGGCTTCTCCGATTTTTCAAAAGGAAGACAAAAAACTCCCTTCTTGTATTCTAGAAAAAGAGGAAATGACCTCGAAGGAAATATGTAAATCTACTTCCTCATCGATTGATGAGAAAGACAATGTCGAATCTTAGTAAGATCAATCATATCTATTTCATCCCATATGCAATCATTGTTGTTAACTTTTCGATCTAGAATTAATTATTTTTGACTAAAATTTACCCCTTCATCTTTGATTGATTTGTTCAAAAAAGTTTTAATATCTTTTGAGTCAAATAATTTGGCGCCGTCTGTAGGGATTTTTTAGTGAAAATTCCTAGTTTCTCTAGATCAAAGCCAAGAAACACAATCACCCACCAAAAAAAGCACGAAGGGAGAATCCAACCCACGCGAGACATGGGAGCAGCGCAGTAAGGGAAGGAGAGCCAAGTAGGATTACCAAGCCTAGAAATCATCGCCCCATCAACCGTAGATATACTAAACAAGGCAAGCGGTGTTACCAACCTGTTCTCCCCAACCGGACCACCTGGCGGGAGCAAAGAAAATCTCATCCTCACCTCCCACTCTTTGTCCAGGAAAGCACATAAGACCCGCATGGACGAACGTATACAGGAACATCTCGATTGAAGGACAAATTGCTTCAACGCAGCTGAAATATCTCCTTCCGGCAACATCTCCTTCCGGCAACATCTCCGACCACATTCAATCACCACCTAAAATCGACCAAATCTATGGCTTCCAAAGCCATTGATGGCATGTATCTACCCCCTACGACTCCTACATGCTCGATTATCATGGCTTCAAGGCCAGACCTTGAAGAAATTTGGTCCAGACCTCGGATGTTTTCAGTGTTATGGCTGTCTTCGGCCATTTTCGACCTTGCTCCGACCAGCTTTTGCCATTCAGGCCTGATCTCAACCTCTCCTGCTTAGATCGATGATTTCCAAGCCTTTCTCACCCTCTGAGTTTCTTCTGAAACCCTAACCTTCGAGGTTCTTCTGATTCTTTTAGATCCGTTGTAGATTTGTGTTCTCTCTAAGATTTTAAACGTTTTCTCAAAGTCTCTTTCAAAACTTTACCTTCAAAACCTTTATCTTTTCTGATTTAGGGTTTTGTTAAGATATTTCGAAGCCTTCTCTGATTTTTAGCATGTTCTACTATGTTTTTTATGTTAATTCTTCTATTGTGTTTCTTATGTTGATTCTTCTACTGCGTTCTTATGTTGTTCTTCTATTGTGTTTCTTTATGTTAAAGTCTTAGTCCTTTCTTATGGTTTCTGATTTATTCTCTTCGTTGATATTTTGTCCGATTCTTTTGTCTTTCATCTCTATACTCGATTGATGGTAAAAACCCTAAAATTTGGGGGTTCATTCGAGTTTTGAGACTATTTGCTATATGATTTGTTTGTTCCTCATCTCTGAACTTGTTTGGTTTCAAAACTCTGATTTCTTTGGACCTATTCGAGTTCTTGAAGTCGTTTCATCTACTGCTCGACTGAGTTTTGAAATCTTTGTTTCAACTTTTGTTTCTTTATATGATTCTGACTTCCTGCTAAACCCTATAAGATCTTTTACTTGACCCTTTGCATGCTATTTGATACTCTCCCCTTCTCCATTGCTGAGTTACTGAAACTGACCTATGTGACCACCATGTTCCTATAGTTCGCTACTTACTGATTTTGCAATTGCATGACACTTTTCTTTGTCCCAAATTCAGCCTCGGATGCCTAATACTTGTGTGCTCTTTATATATGTTGAGCTTCTTCTCTAAAATGACTTTCAATTTTTGATTAATTTCAGACCTCCTTGTGTAAGTCAGATTGATTCTTTCCTTGTTTTACTAATTTTCCTATTTCTTGGTTTGATTTGAAAACTTTCCTTAGCCTTTCTGACTTGGTTTATTCATGAACCAGTAATTTCGAATCTTTGACTCTTTGATTTACTATGTACTGATTGATTCTTTCCTTATTTGTTTAACCGTGTATTTCAAAGATCCTTCCCTTAATTAAACTCCTATGTATTTACCCCTAATTGTCTATTTTGCACAAGATGCTTATTCGATCTCTTTCCTTAATTGGTTTCTGCTCATTATCGTTAAGTTTGAACTCCTTAATTAAAGGAAGTTCTTCTGCTAGTTGATTTTAATTGGTACATGGTTATTTTCTTGATTATTCTCTGCATGTTTTCAAACTATAAATACAATGCTCTTTCATTGACACAAGAAGACACGAACACTTTTAGTTTTCTGAACTCACGCTCACATTCAAAAGGCACTTCTCTTTTGTTACTTGTATTGTGGCCTGTTTTCTTTCAAGTACTGCTACTGCTGTATTTTGCTTATTTGAACTGGTATGTTCTAATTAAATTTCCAACATCACAACAATGTGTTTACTTAAGACTTTTACCTTCTTGTTTGTCTACTGCTTGTGTTTAGTTCAATACTTATTTTAGCATGCTATAGTTTTCTTCTGCCTGTTCTGAATCTATTATGAATACCAAACCCCCACCCCAATGTATTTGATGCTATGGTTTGCTTGAAGCATGACAATACTGAATATTACTACCCATGACTCAAGCTTGATCCCCTACTTCTATGTTTCTCTGATATTGTATG